TTATTATTATTATTATTATTATTATTATTATTATTATTATTATTATTATTATTGTTATTATTATTATTATTATTATTATTATTATTATTATTATTATCAATCTTCTGGAATGGACATAACCAGTGGTTTAAAGCTCACATGATAAATAAACCAGGGTAACCAAGGTAATTCACCAACCTCACATTTCCCTAGCTCACGCAGATTACGGTCTATCCAAGATCGCGTAATAATGCAAAGCGGGGAAGGTCGCAGAGTAGCCCGATTACAATTATACTTTCCGAAATGAATCCTTTATATTGCTTGAAAGCAGCAGCTTTTATAATATATTTCTAATGCAATAACGCAGGCTTCTTCCAGAATTGCGTTGCATCAAGGCGAAACAAGATATGTGTGAGCAATTGTCCGCTTAAAAAATTTGCTGTTCCACCAGCAGCATATATGTTGATTCAGGAATGAATATGTTAAAATGATATTACGTTTAGATATTGCAATTATTGAGATTTTGAATTCGTAGAACGCTTCTGATAGCGTGTTACCCAACTGAGACAGGCGATTGCCTAACTTGAGTAACGACTTACTTTATGTCCCTGGTGCCTTCGCATTGTGACGATAAAAAATTTTAGAGCGGTAATGCGAAAAGCATTAGAAGTGTGGTCGAAAGGAAGTCAAGGGGAATTGACGTTTGAAGATGTATCGCCGAAGGGAAGAAACGAGAATGAGGCGGCGATACCAGCAGATATCGAGATAGAGTTTGCGAGATACGAGCACGGAGACAAAGAGTCGTTCGATGGGAGAGGGGGCATAGTTGCGCATTCGGCGTATCCTCGAGAAGGCATAATCCACTTTGATGGATCCGAATATTGGTCAGTGGATGGTAGAAATGGTAGTTTGGACTTGAGATTTGTGAGTTGTTCATGACTGCTTGATGATAACAAAGATGTTATTCGGTGACTTGTTAAGTTGTGTCTTTCAGGTTGCCTTACATGAAATCGGTCATGCACTCGGATTGAGGCATTCGCGTAATCAAAATGCTATTATGCATCCTTATTATCGGTTCGTACTTATTGTCATTGCTTTTCTTACAATTACTGTCCATGTAAATTATTACCATTCCATTTTTCAAGACTCGCACACCTTATGTCCTATCTTATTACTAACTCAGGTGCGCAGTGCTAACCAAAATTTTAGCGGCGACACTCCCGCATCAGAAAGATGGCGTTGATAATGTTAAATGGTTAAACTAAGACAAAAAGTACTGGCGATATTTATTAATTCTGGGTTCATAACGGTTGACTTCTCAGTATGAATAGAAATTTACAGAGCATAACCCACTATAACGGTTTTTCATCCATATCTAATAATCAGTGATGGTAATTGTTAGTGGCGGCATATGAACAAATTTCAGTTCGGTCGAAATCCGACCGAATTCATGTTTGAGATTTCGACACTCGGAATTCCGATCGAACGTTGAAATTGTTCGATCGGAATCCAGATGTCGGATTTCCGATCAAAATTTGTCGGATACTTCCGACTGGACGTCAGCCGAATGCCATCACTAATAACTGTACAACATTCTCTCTGTTTTGTTCACAATACATAACCTATTCCTAAATGCTTTATAATATCATTTCAACTTTTTTGAATAATGAATTCACACACATTGAGAAAAGTATGGTCGATGCTGTTTTTATTCAAATTTTCAAATTATACGCAATTTTTAAGTCATTAACAAAAAAATTAACGACGATAACTAAAGATTACCGCAACTGCCCATCTCTGACCGTGTAATTTTAAAAAATGTAAGGATGAAGATATGTTTTCTGGTGGAGAAAACCACTTTCTCATGAACTGCTTTCTTGATTTTCTTCAACACTTTTCTTTAATAAACCGGCAACGCGGCCAAAACGAATGCATTTCAATGTATTAAAATTTTAATGTTTTCTTCTCAAGCAAACTCTACAATGTGCTATCTATATCCTCTAACAAATACAGAATCCTAATCTGCAACCAGATTATTCCTACAACCCACCATCGTGGTTCTATTTCAGAAAAGTGCTTTGAAATTCACAACGATATTTGCACACAACAAATCACGTCTGTGTTTAATTCCAAAATCTTACAAGTAATATCAAATAGTGTATGATAGTTTCTATACTATTTTTGTACATTTCTGTACTGCTATACCACTATCTGATCTTGTTTCTGTACTTCCTTAATATTATTAATAGAAATGAAGTTTCTATGATTTTAATATTTACAATTCCAGAATTCTTTGCATATTAAATCTTAGCTGTAATCCACTGATCATGTCTAATACTTACAATTTGGGACATTTTTATTTTACACCTACAGAAAAAGGTGTTTTTCGTTCTTCTCAATCCTTCCTTGACGATAGTATAAGACAGCGGAATGTTAGAACTTGCTAGAGCGGAGGGAGTCAGGGACAGAAGGTGAGTGATTTTTGCATCGCAAAATATTATTAAGCAGTGATACTCTATAATTTGAAATGTTCAGAATACAACTGGCGGATGGATTCAAATTGAGTGAAGACGATATACGTGGAATACAAACGTTATATCCTCGAGTTCAACACCGCAACTGAATTCTAATTCAACCAATTATTCATCAACAAATTCCAGCTGAATATTGCTATGACATGACGCATGGCGAATATTTATTTCGTTATCACGTAGTACCCTTACAACGTAGTGTTCGTAGTTCGTTACGGTTTAATTTGAGCGAACGCATTCATTTTGTATGCGTATTACAAAAAGTTAGATCAGATTTATTTGAGCAGAGATATTAATTGCTATTAACTGTATTTTAGGTTGGTAAAATCAAAACGGCATTTCGCTCACATTCATAGTCGAATATGTTACTTACGATTAGTCACAGCACAGCAAGAAACGTTCGCACGAACAAAATGCCGTTTTGATTTTAACAAGCTGAAAGACAACAGTACCTTAACTTAATTTCATTTGTAGATGGAACAAATGTTCAAGATTTTGGTGAGGTAATATTAGAATGCTAGTCAATTTGACCATTAATTACGGCGCGAATATCACCTTCAGAAATCGTACATAAATGAACGCATTACTCATTTCTTTCAGTATGCATCTGCTCAGCAGAAGCAAGTGGTGATGAGGAGTATGAGGCTCTGTAACACCTGAGCAAGGTGTCCGTTCCCGGTTGAATGGGCTAACAGCTTACTTTTAACTGAAGGCAAGCGCTTCAACCTTCTCAAACCCTAATAGGATCGAGAGTATTACGCTTACTTTTGGTTGAGGTAGACATCCTATCCATCCCCATGTGAGCAGTCCAGCAATCCTGATCCCATTCCCCAGGCATATCCTACACATCCAGGGGAACTCCCCTTCTTCTAGGGTAAATCCTCCTCTCTCGAAGGAACTCTCCTCCCTTTCGAATGGAGCCTTCTTCCTTTATGATTTCTTTTTCTTTTTTTCTAAGCGAGTTTTGAAATATATGCGCATAAAGTGGTGAACATTCGTTAGCTTCACTGAAATTCAATCGAAACTAACTGTACAGAACCGGATAATCAGATACTACGTGGCAAGTAACTAATTATCCTAGATACACTATCATGCGTGCTACGGTATTGAAGAGCGAACATATAATTCAAATAAATATTCGTGAACAATTCAGCAATCGTGCGTTTAGTTATTCACTTACAGCTCAATTGCAGTATTTCATGTGAAACGCGTGATTGAACTGAATTTGTATCGGTAAAGGTGTTTGAGATGTATATATGAAGTGTGTTGTTAAAATAATTGTATGGAGGGTCTGTTATGTTTACTGTTGTATCAGTATCAATCAGATAATAGAAATATGTCGAATAATTATCGTGATGAAGAGACGAATTCAGACGGTCATTTTGCAAATGGTCGTGACGAGGAATGCTTTTCTTCGCGAGGTATCGATTAACGAGTTGTTTGATTAAATGATTTGTATATTTATGTAATATTCATATTCTTGTTCATGATAAAAAATTGAAAGATGTGTTTATATGTGAAAATGTTTGTACGATTTATAACGAATTATTATGATTATTATCACTACTTATTTTTACTATATCGAACGTGAAGATATGTTGTAGAATTAAAGAGCGATGCAAATGGTGATAAATGTAATGAAAGATTAAAGTGTTGTATTGCTGAATATAAAAGTGATGTGGAATTATATGAGTGTTGTGATCGACATGCATCACCAATTTGGCTGAGTGATAAACTGCGGCGGATTTGTACTTTGAAACGATTTCCGTTCGTCTATAACACTGCTGTTCGTTTGTTTGTTATTGTAATCATGAGATGTGTAGTGTTGGATGGGATGTAAATAAATGAATTTAAGAGACGGCATTATTACGTATGTTTGTATCATCGAAGACTGATAGTGAACGAACCTGCATTGGACACGAGGAACGATTCGTTGAAAAATCGTGATCTGAGCGTTTATGAGCAGTTGAGTGCATTCGATGAAGATGAATTGATCGAGATCGATGATGACCCAATAAATGTTCGTTCATTGATACGTTCGTTATGATGTGCGATATTTATCTGTTCAATTTAGAAATCGTTGAAACGATCGCTGCAGCGTCGACGAAGAGCATCGCACCACTCACCGACAAACTCTATTTCTTATAATGTAATTCTATTATTTATTATTCTTGTTTATTGCATCATTGTTAGTATTATGCAAATGATAAATGCACTATTCAGAAGCAGTCACTTAGAAAGATGTCTGATGCAAGTTCAACAGTGGATGATGCCAGCGACGAAAGTGTTCAAATCAAATATCGCAAGTGTTCTATCGGGTTTGTTTTAGTCAGTGTTAATATTATTATTTATTGTTATTAATTATTATTATTTATTATTATTATTCATTATTATTATTAGTAATTGCTGCATTTATAGAAAGGAAGTTAATGATGAATCAATGGAAATGCCAGTAACTGAGGATACTGATAAAGCAACTGGTGGAATGATATCATCGCAAGAGGATAGAGTGATGGTGATTAGTGGAGATAACGGCGATGATGTCGTTGAATTGTCAACTGCAAATGAAAATAACACATCGAAATGTGATGACAATTTGCAGTCATCATCATCAGCGAACACCGTTCATGTTCGTTTCTTTATCTTCATTTCGTGTTCTGTGATTATTATTGAAGATAATTTCGTATAGATTCCCTTCAACGCATTGTCGGCTGCATCACTTCGTCGCTATAAAAAGCATTTCAAATTAAGTCATAGATCTGGTGCCAGTACTAAACAGCAGGTATTCTTTATTATTATTATCCCTCTTTATAACCACTTCGTTTCTTTGCTTTCTAATAATTACTCTCATAACAATTAGTAGCAGGCGTTATTATCATTCTCACTGTATAATATTCGCATCATTTCTTTATTCAATCAGCTTATAAGTGGTAAACTTCAGCTGCTGGACGGAGTTGCAGAACACTTTTCAACGTTACAAGTGCCGATCACCGAGACGGCTGCATGTCTCTTGTATATGATACGTATCAACAATAATAAGTTAGATACGGCAGTATCAAATCAAAGCAGTTCATTATCACCTCGAAATGATACCTTAATTCATTCCATTCATCATTTTCCTGAAACACCAATTCGTTTTTAATTCGCCACTTCTTTACTATCTTATTGAGTGAATTCACTGAACGGGCACTGATCGCATTCATCTGCGGTGCTATTGCTTTGACTGGCTGATTAAATCCTTTTATTATCACCATTCACATTTCCTTTTCTGATTGCATCGTCCAACAAAAACTGTCTTTTTTCGGTTACGAAGACCAAAATGCAAGTGTCTAGGGCATTCTTTTGTCTGCCACATGGAAATGGATCTCATATCTCATTATTGAGCACCTTTTTTTTGAAATCTCCAGCTGAAATCTTTTTAGCAGTATAAACTTGCTTATTTATAAACGTATGATGTCCACCAATGATTTTTACTGCAGAAATAAGAGAACAGTTTCATGAATTACGAATGTGATTTACGCAAAAAACGTTTCCCACTAAACGAATCAGGTTTTATGTAATTGATGAATGAGAATTTCCAAAGGTCTGCGTCAGATATATGTAATTCTGATGATAGCGCCAGAGGAAAGAAGAAGTAAATCAACGATTGGTGCGCTCATTCATTACCTAGGCTTAGGTTGGGAATTGCCCCGACTCTCATTCCGNAGCACAAACTGAATCTTACCGTGGAAGGAATTCTCAAGCTGTTCCATTTCTTAATTGCAACGCTGACGTATCCAGTTTTCGAATGGCGCTCACTGGTAGCGTTTCCTTGTAAGTTGTGATTTTGGAAGTGAGTATCACTTAAGTACTACTTGATGTTTCATCCTTCCCTCAAAGCACAAAATAATTTGTAAAGAGTGAAGAAGAAACTTTTTTACGTGTCCATACAAAAAGTATATGGATACGTATCAGAAATGTTTCATCGAACGTTTTCAGCAGACATTATATTCTATGCGTATAAAACTACATTCATTCTATAAGTCACTGATGGGCACGCTATCGAAAAAAGTGGCTATGCCAGTTCGCTGTGAAAATATTTTTGTTCCACTAAAAATGAACCATTAGTAGCGCCACTGACGAAGAAAACTAAAGTGTCACTGATTGAGGAAAATAGTGACAGTTTTCGCTTAAACGCTACTCAGCAAAATTAATCAGCTAATCGCTGGTTTTAAATCTTCGTCGAAAGATTGCAGTTGCACTGCTGAATTGCCTAGGTAAAAGCCATCAAAATTTGACAAAATCTTTTCGAGCCTCTGTTAAAATTGAGTCCCTTATTAAAAAATTAAGATAATAATAACGAAATGAGATTCACCTCTTCGAGAGAGATTCATAACAGATAAGGATCATTCATAATATAGATAAAATGGTTTCGACGAGGCTAGCAGTAACTCATTTTAGGGATATTACGCCATTCTATGCTTGTTTCCGTCCGAAAGCAGTCATGGGGAGGAAAGTGAAGTTAGCAGCGAATAACAGTGACTGCTCTAGCCAACAGTCAAAGCTGTTAAAAGTTACTAGTGGGTTAATCAAAGTCATAGCCTGTTCAGAAATTCCTTATCCACTCACGTCTCCTTTTTGATAGTTGAAGAAAATATCACCTTTACGGATCGTGCTATAAAACTCAGAAATCCTTTACTTAAGAGTGCATTCCGATAATGAGGTGAGTGGCTTCGGTCAACATACCAGTGCAGTCGACTGAAAACACAGAAAAAATGATTGATCTCCTGTAAACGAACCTTAAAGATCTTTGAAATCAGATATCGAGACTGGTGAGATGGAGGGAAGAGGTTGCGTTCTGAGCTATTAAGTGGTATGACTGATTGATTCAGTGGTGTTGAACGGATCTCGAATTTCTGGGTAATAGCTCCACATGATATGTTCATTACTGAAGTTTTA